GCTATTTTATTCTGAACATATCTGATATGAGATTTCCAGGAGAATTTGTCATCAACTATGACACCTAGAAATTTTATTTCATATACTCGTTCTATATTAGCTCCCCCAATTTTCAATTGATGTTCATTATCTAGTCTACGATTCCCAAATACCATAAATTTAGTTTTATCCAAATTCAGAGATAGTATATTACTGTCACACCATTTCTTTATCTTCTCAAGTTCCTGTGAAACCCGTCCAGAGAGTTGCTGTAGGTTTTCACCCGATGCCCATATGGTAGTGTCATCAGCAAACAAAACCACTTTCACTAAATCAGAAACCTTGCATATATCATTAATGTGTAATATAAATAATTTAGGTCCCAAAACAGAACCCTGAGGCACTCCACATACAATGTCCAGCTCACTCGATTGGTATTCACCCAACTTCACAAATTGTGTCAAATAACTTCTAATCCATTTCAGAACCATTCCTCTGATCCCATATTTTTCTAACTTGTCCATTAATAATTCATGATTGATTGTGTCAAATGCTTTTTTTAGGTCAATAAATATCCCCATCGTGTATTTCTTCTCATCCATAGCACTTGTAATGTCCTCCATCAGGTCGGTAATGGCCAAAGATGTCGATCGGTTCGACCTAAAACCATATTGGCAATCAGAGAGGATTTTATGTTTGTCAATAAATGTATCTAATCTGTTATTAAAGAGTTTTTCCAGAATTTTTGAAAATTGTGACAACAGAGAAACCGGTCTATAATTTGTGAAGTTGTGCTTATCACCAGATTTATACAGTGGAATAACCTTTGCTATTTTCATATTATTGGGGAACTGACCAAGTCGAAACGACATGTTAAAAATATGGGTTAATGGTTTGCATATCCCCTCAATTACCTATTTAACAGTTGTCATAGTGATACCAACACTATCACTGGATGTTTTATTACCACATTTGTTCACTATCTCTATAATTTCCTTTTCAACTATGGGCTTCAGAAACATAGAACTCATGTTCCTTTCAATTGTATTGTATTGAGTATGTCAATAATCAGACCTTACAGTATTGTTATATTAGATAAATTTGACTGGGCGTGGTGGTTAGCACTGTGGCCTCACAACAAGAAGGTTCTGGGTTTGAGCCTCGGCCGACCTGTTTCCTTTCTGTGCGGAATTTGCATGTTCTCTCTGTTCCTGCGTGGGTTCTCTCCGGGTGCTCCAGCTTCCTCCCACAGTCCAAAGACATGCAGCTTAGATTGATTGGTGACTAAGTTGCTCGTAGGAGTGAGTATGTGTGGTTGTTTGTCTACATGTCAGCCCTGTGACAGACTGGTGACTTGTCCAGTGTGGACCCCACCTCTCGCCCAATGTCAGCTGGGATTGGCTCCAGCTAGTACATATAATGGATGGATGGATACATTTTAATGAAAAGCAATCATGATGGATTTGTAGGAGATATTGAAAAGGTTCTAAAAATCGGTGAATCCAGTTCTTTCAAAATAAAGGCAGAACTTGGAATGTATTCAGAAGTCTTAAAGTTAATGTGCAGAAGTCTTAAATAAAGCCTTAATGATTACAAGCTTTTAGAAGCTGTCACAGACACACTAAAAGTAGCATTGCTGTGATAGGAGGCTGCTCAGTCCTTAGACTTTTTATCAATACCATTAGACTTGTAACAACAACTAGGAAGCAAAAACGTTTTTTGAAATTTTAATCACCTAATCCATCCGTCCATTTTCTGCTGCTTATCTGGGTCTAGGTCACAAAAATGTAATTATAGCATTAGAAATTAATGTTATGGGGAAGCAATGAAAAAATGTACTGGTTCTCTCTCATGCTCTGGCCGCCCTGAACTTGAAATGGATATTAAATTGTGTTGCGTTTGGTGTTAAAAATGTCTTAAATGTAACTCTGTGTTTTAGATCTTACCAAAACAGAGTTACACTACTGGTCAAAGTTTTCAAACACCTCCATGTTCCCATTTGTTATCAGTGTTATTCAACAGCCAAATACACTTGTCATTCTTTCTACAAATGAAATAAAACATTGCCGGGATAGAACGGCACTGCTGCAGATGTTCCCACAGATGTGCTGCACTTGTAGGTTGCTTTGCTTTCATTCTTCATCTGGAAAGTCTGGACACTGTGCTGCCATTCCATCATCTGAAGCCGACTGTCTTGTTCTTTTGTCCTACACAGTGTGGAGGTGGTTATCTATCTCATTATCCTGCTGTAGGATGAAGCCCTGAAAGGCTCAGACTTCCTGCACAGAGGGTGCAGTAACACAGTCTTTTCCAACCCTGCCTTTCTACATACAGGATTTGTTGTTATAAGTCATCAACAAAAGTTGGGACACATGTAGGAATGACATCAATTTTAAAGGCTTCTGCTGCAGAAAAGGTGGAAGCTAACCTGTTACTCTCACTGTCTAGATTTTGCACTGATGCTCATCTACCAGACAAAGTGGAAGGGGCAGTAGACTCAATAGACATGTATTACAATGCAGTCTAATGCTTTACCAGTTTTCACTATCACTCTCTCCAACTCATCTTAATGCACGCTGACACCTTCTCCTGGGCATTCTTGAAGATGTAGGAAATGGTTAAGTAAGCACAACACAGAAAAAAGCAAAACAACAAATGGCAAATGTGTATAACAAAACAGTGAATTACAGCACATATGGCACAAATCGCAGCTAAACCAAATAATATCAGTATACATCATATGATTGAACTATTATTTATGCTGTTGCACTTGAATGAGCTCCTGCTTTGAGAAACCTGAATTTAGACCAGTTGATTGAGAAATGGATGCAAGCATTGAGTGGATGTTTATTTGAATTCAGCACATGAGACCTCCATAACAGTCCACAGTAACTTCCAGACGGTGAACTGAAATAGACCCAGATTGAATTAAGTGGGCAGCCAGGTGGCCTCGCGATCAGAGAAACTGTCCTGATGGAAGGTTCCAGGACGATCGATCGCTGGCTCGACCTGTCAGTCCTAGCTCAGGTGAAAATCCGAGACACTGTTGGTCTAATTTGACGACGCATGGAGGGAGGATGCATTCTGGCATTATCACAGTCCTATTCAGCTCCATTGTACTGAGGTGGCAGCAAAAGAGACAGATATATCAAAACTACAGTACAGTAACTTCTGTATCAGGACCTTCTGATTACCTCTATGTAAATATACTGTACATATGTCAGTATAAATGAACAATAGCAATCCACTGCTAAAATAAACATTAAAAAGCTTTTTAAAGCTTTTTTTTTTAAAGTATTTATTCTAAAAGATTTTATCCCATGAGAATAGGAGGTCTATAGGTTCATAAACTTCACCTTTCTTTGATACAGACTTACAGTAACTGCCTCTGTACAAGTGGAACAAACGCAGTTCTCAGTGACGTCAAGCAGCGTGAGAATCAGTGGACCCCTACTCCTAAAGTCAACCCGTCGTCCTCCACCCTCAGAGCTTGAGGCTCAGCTCCTCTGTCCTGTAATGGAGTTATAGATTAGTGTTTTTATAGAGGGGTCAATACTTCCCTGTAAACCTGTGGGGCTGTATGCATTATTGATCCCTCCACAGAGGTGCGCGTGTGTCTTTTCACCTACTCTTACACTTTAGAAGATGCTAATAATAAAACACGATTATGACACAAATCAGCAGCCGGCAGCTTTATTTGATATCAATGATGCCAGATGGACCTTACTGTCAAGAAAAATCTGGATGCACTGTTACCATTTCTCTATTAGTTTAATGCTTGGTTTGCAGTTTTTTGTTTTTTATCAGTACCTCACCAATGCAGTACAATCAGTGAAAACTGAATAATTCACTCAAATTTTAATAGAAGTCTCTAAAGTAATGAGACAGAAGGGATTTATACCTGAGTGGAGACTGAAAACAAAGAAATGAAACTGGGAGTCATATAAGTAGCATCAGTGTAATAGTGTACTGTAGTACATAGTGCAGTCTGGGCTTCATGTTGTTGTTGTTTTTTAACAAGTGATGGTGTTGAATGCACAAGGTAGTGACCGCCATTTCTGAAACACAGGAAACTGAGAACAGCTGGAAATAGCTGTTAAAAAATGAAGAGCCTGTAGTAAAGTAAAAAAACTGCTTGTAGTGTTTGACTGCCTGGACATGCCCTTGATGATACTGTTGGTAAGGAATATTGACACTGTGGAGTAAAACTACATAATTTCCTCTTTTCAAAAGGTCACTTGACTCCTCCACAGATGCTGCACTCCTACGCTGCAAATCAGCGTTCAGTAGAAGCTGACTAAATCCATGAGTCTTAAGTGTATCATTTTTGTTGCACAGTAGTTGACTGAGGACAAAGTCTGATGTGGAAGATCTACAGCAAAGTGTCTATCTTTGTTATTTCAGGACCACAAGGACGGTGATATGTGTGAGGAGGAGGAGCTGGTTGAAAACAGAGTGAATAACTCGGCCAACAGGAAGAGGAAGCTGTGGTGGGGGTCACGGCGGGGCACAGACGAGAAAAACGTACGTGAGGGGCATTTTACATGACTAACAAAGCACTGATTATTGGACAGGTTGGGAGGTAACCATCCATGGTTAGCGCGCTATTGTACAATACAGATGCCATTGTAAAAAAAAATTGATACTTAATAATGGCATTGGAAAAATCCAAACAAACAGCCTTGAAAATATCCTGAAGTTCTTTCAATAGGTTTTGCTTCTAGTACCCAAATAACACAGTTTTTGTGTTGCATTCTTAGAACTGACAGCTATTGTGTTTTAAAACAACAACAAAGTGGATTGGAAGTAATATTTAATTGCAAAAATAGCTAAAAATAACAGGAAACCAATTCTTTGTTAAACTCAGGCTGTAGCTGTTTTCACAAGTCTTGTTTTACCAAATCTCTTCATAATAAACTCATCCCTGGAAAGATTTAAGCAAGAAATGCGCGCACGCACACACACACACACACACACACACACCCTCTCACACACATTGACCTTGTTCCCATATCAAGCTCTGTAGTCTGTCTCCACTAGCCACCTCTTGAGGTTTAAAAGCTTTTAGGGTATGCAGACAGATGAGTGATGGACTCGATTTGCAGAGTAGTGCTGCTCCTGCTTATCAGCGACTATAAGGAAGAAGGAGGCCTTTGACTTCAGAAGCTCATCGATAACACACCTTGCCTTGTATGCTCTTTTCTCCTCCTAGCTCATCTCCACCCTGGATGGCATCAGTACAACTGAGGTGGGAGCTGGTCTGGATGTGCCTTAAATCTATGCATCCTACACAATTCACCCCCAGTACTGCAAAGTGCTTTTCACACTGCACCCTCATAGACCAGGGTTCTCCACAGCCTGTGTGTAAAAGAATAATATTAAAATCTCTAGTTATTGTAACACCACAGGTGGTGTCAGACTGAATCTGTGCTGTTTTCAGGTTGTTCAAGTGATTCTGAGGTGAAAAACTGGAGGATGTTTCTACTTTATCATGGGAAATGTTCTTACCTATAAACACAATAAAGCTAAAGGAATGTTGATTACAAAAAAACTGGTAAATATTGATAGCTATGTTATAGAACTTACACAGAATGCAAACTTTATATACAGTGATCACTCTATGTTCAGATGTCAGTAAAAAGTCAGTTTTATGTATCAAAATTTTGTCTTTACCTTTTAAAGGATAAATTCACATTTTTCACAGGTCAGTTTCTGTATTATCTTGAGGTTATGTCAGCTTGTATCTGCTTAAATCAAAGACATGTGTGCAGTGTGAAAAGCAGAAAATCCTACCACCCTATAAAGTCAAAGTGCAGTAACTATAAGTGGCCACTGATGCTAAAAAACACTTCCTGATATAAAGCAAAATCACACAAAATTAGTTACTCCTGTTTGCCTGTATGGGACAGAATGCTGTCCTACAGTGTGATGCCATAGCAAATCTCTTCCTTACAGACATTTTATTTGTAATTTTCGGTGATGATCTACAGGCTGTGCCCACCCCAAATGGGACGTCCTTTGACTTTGTCACAACTGAGAATGGACCGGTCTGTCTGGATTTGTACTCCATCCCCCAGTATAAAATGGACCAACCCAGTGACGGTAGAGGTGAGGTGTTTTCCCCCTGCCATCTACATCTTCTTTCCAGATGTTTTAGGACTTTTCTCATGCTAGGCACTAAAAGTCATGATAGTCAGGCCTCCATTGCTTTAAAGCTACTCTACCTAATTTCCTTTCAGCCACTAGAGGGTCCAGTGAGGCTCAAAACAAACTGACACCATAATCTGCTCCTAACCGCTGTTTGCCTTTCCCATCACATCCTGTTTCCTAGTGACAACATAAACTATGAGTGCCTGATTGTGACAAACTACAAAATGCGTCATCCAGTCTGAAGTTAGCATTAGCTGACTAATGAGTAAAAAAGTGTCAGTCCAGTAGAATGATCTAGTTACTGTTAATGTGACTAATATTGCCTAAGATAGGCCGCTAATGTTTCAAAGACAAATATATTAGCTGTGCAAAAGAGCCTCCTGACTCTGGGTGCCGCTGTTCAGACCTTTAGCTGCCCAGATCTGCTCTATGGCTAGCTGTTTGAAAAATGCTTGTTATAACCTCCACTAGGTGGCAGGCGACGCTAATTTACAGACCATACAACAGAACAGAGGGGCTGTAGTGTCCCGGTGGTGGGGCAGTTGCACTGCAGCAGAGAGACAACCTGTCCTTTCCCATTTTCACTACAATGTATAAAATCTTCACAATTCTCACAATTGCCCCCAACCATATGGAAATGCAGGGAGAAATGAGAGCACAGTTTTAACAATGAGTTGTGTTTCTGTGAACCAGTGAAGAAGGAAGAGTGTGTGTACGAAGTCAGTTTGCCCCCGGAGGAGTCAGCGTTGGAGGGAAGCGAAGACAAGTCTGAGGGAGGAGAGGATGGGATGACAAAACGAGGAGTCGGCACGATGGTCAAAGTCTTCCGCTTCATCATGAAACAGAGCTACATCTGTGCTCTCATAGCCATGATGGTGAGTAATTCAGCCCACAGCTGGTGTAATGTAGGAGTCACAGACAGTGGCCTGTGCTGCAGTGAGTGTTGTGTATTTTAATGTTAGAAATCATTCAAAATCTGTTTTATTTGAGATTTTAAAACTTGCAAAAATGGCTGACCAACAGGAGGGAGATGTGGCTGCACTTGGCAGCTGAATGTGCAGTAAAAAAGACCATCTGTTCTTGGTTTAAACATTCCTGGATGAGTCATAGTACAAATAAATAAATAAATAAATAATAGAGCAACAGTTGTTTGATTATGGCTTGGAAACACACAGACGCAGCACTTTTTTTGAGTGCCTCTTTTTTAAAATTCATTTCAGAAATAAAAGCAAGCGGTATTGATGCCTCACTGAGTAGCCTTTGTTGTTGAATGTTTGCACTAAATAATTTGTGTTTAATTTTGTACTTAGCTATAAAAATGGTAAATGGGATAACAAATTAACCCTTTACATGCTTGCATTTCATCTTCTCAGAGTCCTGACACTAAGGTTATGTTTGTGGTATTGTTGTTTTCCAGAAAGATCAGGATTTTAGCAGCCTCAGGGGAGTGAATTTTTTTAAACAGTTTTAGGTTGATTCCAGTGTTTGTAGGCCCGGTATTTTTCCACCAGGATTTTCCACATGTACTGCTACAACCAAATTTTACTCCCAGCAGTGTGGAGAGGATTTAGACATTTTGATCTTTATTTTGAGAACCATGATGTGGTCACAATCAAGTGGTCAACCGGTAGCCATAATTTCCTAATAAAGTTCCAGGAAAGAACTAATGAAATGTAGTACAGTAATAATTATGAAAATAAGTTATGAGACAGTTATTTAGTTCATCCTCAATTAACAGTGTTTACATTTTAGAGATTTTCTTTATGAGGTCTTGGGTTGGGGTTGTGGCATGTCAGAACCTTCAACCCTACAGCTCAAAAGTGATTTAGGTGACAGTTTTCTGTACATCCATGGTTATAGTGTAAACCGCTAATTCTTCGATTGAATTGGGGGGAAATGCACATTGATATCACCAAAGCATGTTGGGAGTTGTAGTACAAAAAGTCTTTACATAAAAGAACATAGGAAAAGAACAACAGGATTGAATGAATCCCTGAAATTCGGCTTTGTTTTAGACAACCCATCTTCCTCATATACAAATATTTACTGTGTGTTGCAAACCTCTGGAGATACAGGCCAGAAACCCATACAACTGCATGTTACAATTGTGAATTTCAGAGTGGCCTCTCTCAAGCTGAATTATATGACAGGCCATGTAAATAAAGGGAAAAATGAAAGGAAACAGCTGAGGGCAATTCCACAAATCTTTGTTTTGTGCTTTCATTAGTCATTCATCAACAGCAGAGTTGCAGGATTTGTTTCACATGTCCCGTGATTTGTTCTCTTCAGGCATGGAGCATCACGTATATCAGCTGGCTGACGTTCGTTTTCCTCATCTGGTCTTGCATACTGTGGATGGTGAGGGACCGGAGGCGTTACGCCATGCTGTCTTCTCCCTTCATGGTGGCATATGGCAACCTGCTGATAGTTCTGCAGTACATTTGGAGTTTTGAGAACATGCCTGCAATCTCAGGGCTCTTTCTCAAGAAGAATAACCCTTTCCATTCACTTTCATCCAAGGTAGCTAAAATCTACAACCAAAGCAGTTTCTTGATTTTAACATTTGCCATAAAAATCCATGAAGCTTTAAGACTAACCTTTAGACTGAGTGACAGTCTTGTACTTGCAACACACTTGCAGTGACTTGAAAACACAAACGTAACTTGATATGTGCAAGGATTTCTACTGCAGCACTTGTAGTCTGTGTGCAGCCATAGGCAGTGTTTTTTTTTAAGACTCTGAAACTAAACATTTGACTTCATGAGTCTGTCAAACTTTGTCAGTTATTCAAATCAGAGAGGACAGTCATACAATGTCCCACTGAAGGAAAAAGTCAAGTCTAGTATTTTGACATATTTTGGACTTGCTCAGAGATGTATATGTTGGCAGCCACTGAGCCTAACTGTGACTAGAATGAGATTTTATGCATTAGTAGGACACAAGAGACTTGCAGTGGCCTTGGTGTTTTTTTACTCACCCATACTACGGTGTTATTATCATCCCTCAGAGAGCAGAGATGCAATTATATTTCACACCCAGATCAAACTTTTCAAAGTTTATTTTAAGTCCCAGATGAATGGAACACAGCCTGAAAGTTTATACAGTTCAATTTAAGTTTAGAAACTCAATTCTGATTTATACATATATACCTCATTATGGTGTTTTGGCCACCTGTGTTGTGCTCTTAGCAAGTTAAAGTAAATGCAAAAGATTTATTTCTTCATCTTTTCTTGCTGGTGAGGTGTTTGTTTAAACGCTGTATTTATTGTGTGCAGGTCCTGTGTCTGCTGAGCTTCTGGCTGCTACTGAGACAAAGGCTTACAGAGAGACAAGAAAAAAAAAAGGAAGACAGCGCTGGTCTCTCAGATGTTCATGTGGAGGATCAGAAAGAAAAGGGTAAGCTCTTATTTTATTTAGAATATATTTGTCATATTGTATAGATTATAGAATAATGTAAGTGAATTTGAAAAGCCACAGTGGAAGATAGTAACCAGGTCTCACTGGCAAGTACCTGAGCTAACATACAACAGGGGTGGTTGAATTATTAGAGTGGCTAGTGATGGTGGTCACTGATCAGTGTCTGTAGCCGGTGCATAGAAAAGATTGCCTTTAGCTGCATGCCGGTTGGCTTTCAGTGCATACATTAGACTTTCTGGTTTATTTTCACACTGAGGAAGAATGTTTAGGTTGTTCTGCAGCTGATCTACATCTCTACCCTCCCTGTTCATGAGGGCAAAAGGGAAAGGGCAAACATTAAGTCATCCATTCATACTCTACTAAGCTAAGTATTTTTACCATGTGTTCCAAAAGCATGTCAGATTTTCATTTATATAGAGGCACTGTCTGTGTAGAGGTCACTGTGCTCCATCATTGTTTACTTTTAAAAACTTTGGTAATGCTTTATTTTACCCTCCTTTACTTAGTAATTATAAGTGGTTTATAGACATGGCTATAATGTAGTTGTAAGTAGATATTTGTGTGCAACTACAGTACGGTTCTTATAGTGGACTGTTGTATAAACAGATAATGAATCACAATATAGTAAAACATAGTTGTATTAATATAAAATGTCTTTCATAGTTATAATTTTTGTCAAATACTAGACATTAATAACCACTAGTAACAGGAGTGTGTAGCTGCTTACAATCTGAACCAGTTATAAAAGAATGATAGAATTTCACTTTATTTCTTATGTCTGCTAAGAACTGCATTATAGTGTGCTACAAACAGTTATTAAATATTCATGTGCTGCTTGTACAGTAAATGTTAATGTAAAGTTAATGCTCCCAAAACTTTAAGATAAAAAAAATACTTTACAAAATGTAGATAATATCTGTATACTGCATGTGAGTATCATCACATTTTTCTGGGGCTTTTAGTTGCATCTCATGGCTGAATAGGACAGCGACTAATCATTATCAATTAATCTGCTGATTATTTTCTAAATTAATTAATTGACTGTTTTGTTTATAAAGCATCAGAAAACCAACAGTCTCTAAAATGTTCACTTCACTGTGATGTAAGACAAGGAAAAGAAAATTACCACATTTCACAATATGGTAAATGGTACAATGGACTGGTATAGCACTTTCTTTATTTACACACTTATGTGCGCTCAAAGGACTTCACACTGTTTCCCGTTCACACACACAAACGCTCCCATATCCACACACTGGTGATATCAGCGGAAGCAACTAGGGTTCAGCGTCTTGTTCTAGGACACTGATGTGGACTGGAGAAGCTGGGGATCAACCCACCGGCCCTGCGGTTAGGAAACAACCCGCTTCACCTCCTGAGCCACAACCATCAATTTTTTGGGCATTTTAGAAACTTCCACACCTGTCGCACTTTAGCTGTATTTATTAATAACATTTCAGCCTGTTTGACCTTCATCAGGTGTCTGGATGAGCATCATATCTGGTCAGTATGCACCTGATGCCGTACACCTTCACTGGAAAACCGAATGGGAAGTGTTTTTAAAAACCTGATGCAAGCATGAATAAAGCCTCAAATTCCTAGGCTGTCAAAGCAGCCATAGCAGTTACCATGTGAACAGTACACTCTTAAAATTCATAGCTTCCAGATGATATATCAAACACACAAAATACAAAACTAATAAGCCTCCACATATCAAAATAAATCATATATTAGGGCCAATAACAAATTTCCATATGATCTTAAAAATTCATACTTTGCAAGTAGCATTACATATCAAATACAAGATGGAGTATAAAGTGGCTTAAATTTGTATCATTAATAATTAATTGATTATCAAAACACTTGCTGATAAATGTTATTTTGCTCAGCTAATTGTTTAATCATCTGATTGTTTCAGGTCTCATGTAAAATGCTTCACTCCGTTGTATTGTTACATAGAAACAACAGAAAAGTTCAGTCGTCTCGTGTAGTTTTCTGATTCTCTCTGTGTTTTATAGAGGAGGAGAAGCCTGAGGAGGGAGGGGAGCAGGACATCATGCATGTTCTGGGCAACATGGTCCTGGCTCTGCTGGTGAAATACTGGATCTACATCTGTGGGGGCATGTTCTTCTTCGTCAGCTTCGAAGGAAACATCGTCATGTACAAGATCATCTACATGATAATGTTCCTCTCCTGTGTGGCGCTCTACCAGGTAAGACAGCAGCCACCGAGAGCGCCATGAACATAACATACATCTGTCCAGCAAATGGATGTGAGGACACGCACAGGTGGACATTTGTATTATTGTACAGTGTTGCGTTAATGTGTGCACATTCACATAATTTCTCTTAAATTGTCCCTGAGTTACCTTCAGTGTTAAACATTTTTCCACATTTGCGTTCAAGGTTCCAACTGGGTGAAATTCTAAATCACACTTTTTATGACTGCACCAAAATTTTCATGGCCTCTTTTGTCTACAGTGCCCTTTGAATCTATAATAAACTTAGCATATAGTTAGGATGATTTGAGTATCCACATTAAATTTCCCAAAGACAGAAGGTGCTGACAGTTTTAGTGGTGACAAAGTTTGTGTACAGCAGACTCATAATCCACGGTGTATTCTTTACTGTTTTATATCCCCAGGCGTAGTAAAGCAGAGCAGGTGTCCTCTGTACATCATGTTTCATTTAATGCATTATAGCTGCACATCTTATTCTTTACTAGGTGCACTATGAATGGTGGCGAAGGATCCTGAAGTACTTCTGGATGTCAGTGGTGATGTACACCATGCTGGTCCTCACCCTGGTTTACACCTTTCAGTTCGAAAGCTCATTGGATTTCTGGGAAAAAACGTTGGGCATGAAAGAAGACAGGTGAGCTCCACTGGGTGACGACGAGTCTGAGAAGCAGGTTACTGATGCTGATCTCGCTCTCCACACAGGCAACAGGTGTCCGCTGGCGTTTCCAGCAACCTACTTGTCAAATCATCTATTTTTCTTAAATTTCAACTTGTTCAAAAACACTACATTATAGGCACAGTGGTGTTTTAGGTTCAGCACACAGTTTATTGATGTTTCAAGCCTCTCTAATCTAAATGTAACATGTTTGACAGTGTTTTTTTTTTTACCACTGTTTAAAACTACAAATAGGTGGCAAGTTAAAGGAACATCCTGCATAAATGAGTGTAAATTAAAAAACTTTATTAAAAATTCACTGAATAATCTGCCAGTTATTGTTTTGATCATTTGATTTAGCTTTTTATTCACAGATTGTCAATAACTGGGAAACTTTTTTGACTTTCGAGAGTCTCCATATGTCTTGTTTTGTCCAACCAACAAATACAAAAATATTCAGTTCATTATCACATATGACAAAGCATGAATTCCTCATATTCATGAAGGTGGAACCAGAAAATGTAGGTGAATTTTGCTTCAGAATAGTTCCAAGTTAGGTTTATATCAATGAACAGATTAATGCTTGCAGCTCTAGGTTACTGAATGTCTTAATGAGGATGGAAAAAAGTGAGGGAATATGTTGTGTAAGAGTGTTTCCTCCCTCCAACAGAGGAGCACTGAAGCTGTTCTAGAGACACTTTAATAAAAGGTCTGTTGTTCACTTTATGCTAGTTTTTCCCTTTAATTTGTCACATGTATGTTTGTTTTCATCACGTACGACAGAAGATGCAGCTGTGCAGGGTTAAAACGATGAAAAATACAAAAATACTTACACTGTACTGTAGTGAACAATATAGAAAAGGTTCAACCACATGAAAATTTTAAAATTTTACATAAATATTGTATGTAAATTGCTTCAATATTACAAAAGGGTTGTTGGATGTGGTTGTTAAAAAGACAGGTTATAAGTAGTAGTGAATAGTAGTAAACAACATTGCTGAAGGGAATCATTTACTTTATCATTTAACAATCATGGAAACACAAGCATCAGTGAATGAAAAGCATTTAATTCCCTTTTTCAGCTTTAATTATTTAAAGAATCTTAGTGTTTTATTGATGTTTGACTTTGCTAGTTTCTCTTCTTTGCACTCAACACAGTTGTAAACCTTCACATCTCAGAGCTTCCTCACTGACTTGTCTGTTTTTATGCATTTCCTCAAAATTTTTCTGTCTGTGCAGTTTGAAAGACCTGGGTCTGGAAAAGGAGGAAGATGTGGCCAAACTGTTCATTATGATTTTCATCCCCACGTCCTTCCTGCTGGTGTGTGTTCTCCACCTGCACTACTTCCACGACCGCTTTCTGCAGCTCACCGACCTCCAGGCAGTGGTGGCCAAGGAGGAGAGCACTATCTACAGGTTTGTTTTCTTTGAACCCAGCTATCACTGGACAAGAGGACTTTGTTCTTTTGTATTTGGTTTGTTTATACAACTTGAAATTCAAACAGTAGTTCATGGAACAGTTATGATAACCTGATTATTAAAAACTGGCCAAATGAAGCCAAAATTTCATCTACAGTAACTGTATCTTATTTTTTTGTTCAGCAAGATCTGTCTTCAGGAAAACATTGTGCATGCCCCTAAATGTTCCTGGGCTGCAAGTAATAGTTTCTTTATTGATTATTTCCTCAGTCACTTAGTTTATAAAAGGTCAAAAACCCTCAGAACAGAACCCTCAAAACAATCTGTCATCACAGTTGATGCTGATAAACAGTGATACTGAATTGTTGCCCCAGAATTCTCATTATTCAAGAACAGTAAATGACAGTGTATTCCTGGTAAACCCAACAGACCTTAGTTGAGTGTCAGGTGAAAAAATGCATCCCTTTCCATCAGACACTGTACTGAATAATCACACTTCATCTGTCATTGTGTGCTTTGTTGTGCGGCTCTGTGTTGTCTGTGGTGTGTTGTGTTGTTGTGGATTTTCCATCGTGTTGCCACTGCTCGCTCACTCAGCTCATCTGTGCTGTGCTTCTTTCTGTGACCTGCTGCCGTCTCTCCTCTGCCTCGTCCTTTTCTCACAGCCATGCTAAAGTCAGTGGGCGTGTCTATCTGATCATGAATAGGTGGGTATCTGCTCGCTTTCTGTGGCACCATTCCAGTTCACCTTGGAGTCCCCCACCCCCCACTGGTTCCCCTTTACCCTGTTTGCCAGAAATGGTGCACTGATGGTCTTCTGGAATATTTGAACTCCACCAACAGGAATGATGTTCTTTTTCAAGTTTTGTATTATTTTGCCTGTATCCTTCTCTCATTTGGTTTTCTGTTACCTTTCTGGGTCTTTAACCCACCCTAAACCTTTCCTCTATAAATCCCTTCCACTTTTCTCCATTAGCTTCAAAAACTGTCCAACTCTTGCAAGAGATAAAGTCTTTGCCAAGCATGTTTCAGTTTGCAAAAACTGTTCTTTCCTTCCAGTATGTTGCCAGTGATCTACAACCTCCCTGTGCAATGAACCCCAGAAAATTACCCCCTTCCTGAACAAGTTTGTCTCCCCCAAACCACAGGAGCCTTTTGGCCAGACTTTCATGTATTGTAATAAAACTATGTGAATATTTTTAAGTGTCAGTTTCAGCCTGCCTCTGTCGGTTTCTCTCCTTACTGTTCATCTTGACTTCTGTGTAACTTCATTGTTCTGAGCAGCATCAAGCAAAAAATTCCCACTCAGCAGAGCAAGTAAGTGTGACCACTGGATTACAGAATGCTTGCCTTGGTATGCAGCTGGTTCATGCAAGCCGAGCCCGACCTTTGACCTCACTCCATTGCCTGAGAAGAATTTTAAAGGGTTAATGCCTCTCTTCAGCTATTACCATTTATCTGCTGCAAGTTAAAAATCCCTCAGACACCAGCAAAAACATTAGAGGTTGTTTTAAAGTATGCAGAAGGAATGTGCACTGCTTTTCGACTGTAATGCCTGATGAAATGTCGCTCTTCTGCTCAGTTATTGGACTCGGAGCTGATGATTCCCCTTTGCATCGTCGCCTTTTGAGAATCATCTGGACCACGTGTATGAGTTTGTGTTGTATTTGTATGCTTATGAGGACAGAATTTTTTCAAAAACATAGGAATTTGAATAAAACTTCTAAATACGCCTAAATATGTGGAAATTTTAAGATTTCTTTAAATTTAAATAGCTGATTTCAGATCTTTTCAGATCTAGTATTAAGATTAGTTTACTAGAATCTAATAAGCTGAAAGTTAAGTTTACTTTAGCAACACAAACATGAAAAAGAGATAGATTTACATGTATTTGCATGTAAAAAAAAAAAACCCTTTGCTTTATTAAGATGACTACAAACATAACGTTCCCATTTCAAGTTTGTTTGGGAAACGTTGTTGCATCTTTTTTGCATTTTGTTGTCTCTACTTGTCTCTAATAAAGAATAAAATCACACTTTAAACTTAAATGGTCAAAAAAAGGTTATGATAAAGCAATAAAACAATTCAGTTTAAACTTGAATTCAACTAAAATTTTAGGTCAGACTTACCATTTCACCTGTTCACATTGTTCTGATTTGCTAGAGCAGGTTGGGGAGAGAAATAAAAATTGTAGTTAAAAGACAACAAGTTACAAAAAACCTGTAGACAGTGGCAGAAAAAGGTCATCAGTATGAACTACTGCATCCAAAGATCCAGAACTGTTGCTAAATGGACCTTGTGGTGAATGTTTAATTACTAGGGGTTTAAATTGCCCTCCAAAAAAGAATTTATAAAAGCCTCTAAAACATCAAGCCATCACTGAAAGTCCTCACAAGTGTAGAAATCAGATGTATGTGCGAGTCTGCATGCATGTGCCTTTGCGTGAAATTGTTTTGTCACATCTTCAGGCTGGTGAACCAGGACGGCAGCCTGGCTGACCTCACCATGCTCAGCGCCAGCTCAGTGGACACCAGTCTGCCCAGAGAGGAGGAGGAGGAGAAGCAGGAGGAGCAGGGGGAGTGGGGGACAGAGAAGGAGAAGGAGCAGGCCCTGGTGGTGGTGATAGATGATATCGATACCACTGGCGAGAAGCCTGGGAGCCTCTCTGACCCGCGGCAGTCCAGCACAGAGGAGAGCCACCAGTGCAGCGCGGGGACTGAGCCAGAGCCCAGCACAGAGGAGAGCTCAGGTACTGAGCCACAAATCCAACTTCACACTGATGATGCACCAAAACACTGTAGCATAGCTCTCAGTTTTCATTATTAATTCATCTGTTGATTATTTTATTGATCCATTTTTCTTTAAAATGTAAGAAAACAGGAAAAAGTGCTCAACACAAAATCCCTGTCAGCAATCAGAAAACCACAACTTGTTTTTGTTGTATGTTTAGTGTTTCTGTATTTGTTTCTTGTTCATTTTCACTAGTGGTAATGGAACAGTTTGCTCTTCCAGGGTGGATAAATTAATTATATCATACTCTTTGAATACATGTGTCCATTTGTCCCATACTCACCACTGTGTCTTTCTCAGTGGTGGAAAATAATTAAGCGGATTTACTCATGGGCTTAAGGACAGATTTGAGGTACTTTAATGGAGTATTTTCATTTTACAGTTTATACTTCTATTACACTACATTTCAGAGGGAAATATTGTATTTTTACTCTTCTATATTTGATGGCTATAGGTAATTTTTCAGGTTAAAACTTCACACACACCAAAAAGGCATATGATGGGTGTATTGCATATTATACATAGTTGCAGAATATACTGCTTTATAGTACTATACATCAGATGATTTGAATTAGCACCACCTTCTCAGTTTCAGGCTTGGGGAGGACCCAAATGCAGACGTGAGCTGATGTTTGCTGTCTGGTGAAGTTTAATAAAACTGATAGGAAACAAAGAGACAAATAGATCAACTGACGAGCTCAACCTGACAGAAGCAACGCAAAGACATCTAAAGAAAACCAACAACTAAACAGCACAGCACAATACTTTTACTTTTGATACTTTAAGTACATTTTGCTAGTAATTCAGTCAAATTTTTTACTAAAGTAGGATTTTCAGTCCATCACTTTCTGGTAAAGGAATATTTTTACTGTGTAGTATTGTTACTTAGGTAAATGCTCTATATACTACTTCCACCTCGTTGACCTTCTTACAGATGTACCTGACTCTATTCATCCATCCATCCGTTATCTATACCACTCATCCTGAAGAGGGTTGAGGGGGGGTTGGAGCCAATCCCAGCTGACACTGGGCAAGAGGCGGGGTACACACTGGACAGGTCACCGGTCTATCACAGGCCTGACTCTATACATGCTGTAAAGGCATCACTGAGGCACTGGGGTGTACTTGGCATGTGCAGTATATCATGTATTCACAATAACATAAACCCTGTGCCACATGTTCTAAATCAAGTTTAAAGTGCTCGATAAACTCAAACATCCAAACAAGCATGTACTGTAAAATAAGATGAAGTTCATGTTGATCTGCTGGTCTAGAGGCTGTGTGGCTGATCATAGTGCAGAGCTGAACTCTGCAGCATCTCAGGGAGAGCCTTGGTGTGCGATGCTCAGGCTGTTGTTTTCCAACAAAGTGTGTCAAAGCTTCCCACCCTGCTGGCCGTGTTTACCCCTCTCACAGTGTTGTGTAAAGACAGAGCTCTTCCAGTCATGAGTCTAGAGACCTATTCTCTCAGGTCTGTCTCAGTCTGCCCAGAAGACATGTGTTGCATTAAAGGCCAAAGCTCTCCTCGAAAAGCCTGGTCTGCTGCCCAAGTATCTGCCTGCACTCTCAGCAGCCAGCCGTTACTCATCTCAAGCAAAGTTGTAAAAATCTGCTGTATTGCAGATTTTTGGGTTCAGCGAGATTTACCTCCAGTTTTTTTCTGATGCAGCGTGAGGCCCAAGTACTCAGTTTAACCCGTTGCATCTTCCCGCTAACCCCAAGTGAAACTGCATCATTAGCATATTCACACAGACAGTCACGCTGCTCTGAAGTTAAATGTTGTTTATACGCATAGAAAATAAAATTGGTGATAAAACAGAGCCCTGGAGGGCCTCTCACTTTTTAATGACCTGCAGGCTATAGAAGCTATATTTACAATGAGGTCTCTCTTAAAACCTGGGATAAAATGTATAATGGAAAAGAATAAATACAAATATTTTACAGCTTCAGGATACATGTAAAATGCATGTTTAATGTCATTGTTACACTGACCTCATATCTTTCCTTCTCTAAAATGCAAACTGCCATATACAGCACTTCCATATGAACACACACAATAAATACCTATTTTCTTTCCTCCTGATATGAATGTCTGTGGTTGGAATTAATTTCCATGTATAGACATTTTTCTAATTGTGGCTGAATCATGAAGCTTTCCATTACTGATTAATCTACAGATTATTGTCTTGATTCTTTCTTAAGCTTTTGGTTTATAAAATGTAAACAAATGGCAAAAATAAAAGTCACATCACAATTTCCCAAAGCTGAAGGCGATGTTAAATTTCCAACTAATACTTCAAAGCTATTTTATTTTGCTGTCACAGGGGACAAAATAAAACAGATTCATGTTTGAGAAACTGGAACCCCTGAATTTTTGGGTTTCGTGCCAATTCATTTTGTGTCAGTTGACATTAGCGGTGTGTATTTATAATGCATGGTTTTTGTGGCAACCTCAAGATGCAGCTTTGTCAGATTTATGGTGTAATATTTACTTATTTTTGCTTCAGTGTATTGAAGGTACTTGTCACCCAGTGCAACAGTACACTTATTTTATCTGCCTTTAATGATTTCTGGACCGCAGTAGAGCTCTATGGCACAATGCTTGTTAGTATGTTCAAGAGATTTGACAATAAGAAAATAACATATTCCTTAATTATACCATTACTTTGTGCCAGCTTGAGTTAGTGAATTAGAAGACAAATGCCTAAGCAAAATGCCAGGAGTGGGATAACTGGGTATAATCAAAGGACACATTTCGGCAATTAAGAGGTGAAACCTGGAAACATTTTCCATTTGCACCTCTCCAGTCTTAAAGTGTGTCTGGTTTTTATCTCTTCGTCATCTTCAGATCTGAAGAATAAATGGCACCTAGTGGTCGACCGTCTGACGGTGCTCTTCCTCAAGTTCCTGGAGTATTTCCACAAACTGCAGCTGTTCATCTGGTGGTTACTGGAGATCCACATCATCAAGATTGTGCCCTGCTACATCGTTTTGGTCTGTGTCAAAGAGGGAGAGGTACAAATGCTTCAGATCCCTCTATTAAAAGCGATGTGATAAAACTTTCAATAACATGGAGCTGCTCGCCAGAGTTGTCAGCTTTACAGTAGCCTGTCATCCCAGGTGGTGAACGCACTGTTTAAGGCTTTCAGATGTTTCTGTATGACATTTTTAGGTCCTTGAATCTTCAGTTTTACAGGACTTAATCAAAAGGAAACCTCAAATCACAGATTATATTGATACTGCATGATAATAAAGTAATAAAGTTACTGGAGCTTGACTGAAAAATTTCTGGACTAGGTTTTTAGATCGAAGACATTTCACCTCTCATCCAAGAGGCTTCATCAGTTCTGCCCGACTGGTGTTGAGTCAGAGATATTTATCCCCATTGGTGGTGTTTCAGTCCTTTGATACCCAACAAGTTGAGAATCTGCACGGAGCTTGACCCATTTTAGAGTGTTTTTCATTTTCTGTGCATCTTGCAAATATGTGTGGTTGTGCCAAAAGACTCTCAAAAGATACCAAGCTCTTGAATGTTTTCACATTGTTTGGTTTACATTGTGCCATTTGCTACAGTTCCAAGACTAGTTTTGGTCTTTTTGCAGGTTGGGGAGGTGTCTAAGCTAAGCTAAGCTGAGATAAGATAAGATGAACTTTTATTAGTCCCCTAACAGTGAAATTTACAAAGCTACAGCAGCAAATAGAAACAAGGTGCTCAGTGTTAAGAATAGAAAACTAACAGACAAGTTATTATCAATATAAATAGAATAATAAAAAGTAAAACGGTATTGCAAACTGGTATGCTGAGTATTTAGATATTACATTTTGTGTAAGTCAGTCCTTTTAGCTACCTTGATTTCTAATAAATGTTTAAATCTTTTCCAAAGATTTACATCCACATTTACTTGCTAGCAGTCTTTGTCTTTTTGCCTTTGTTGGCGCATTGCAGCACGTCTTGGCCTTGTGTGAAACCATTGGCAGGACTGTGTTTCATGTCGCTCCTCTAGATGTGCAGATGCTGTTTAAGTCAAGTTGATTTATGACAACATTGAACCGATATAAAGAGATCCAGGATGGTCTATAACGCCACAAAATATTTGGATGAACTTTAATAACTGTTATAGTTTCTGGAAGAAAAGAAGAGTCTTTATTTTTTAGTTTGAAACAGACTGAGGGGTTTTGTCTGGTTGAGCTCCTCGGGCTTAGTTTGTTAAATCCTTATTAAAACCTACTTTTGTAGTTTAACTTTTTTTATGTTATCTTTTTTATTTCTTGACCAGTGTTTTATGTGTTTTGATTTTATATTGTGATTCTCCTCTCACTGTATTTAATGTTTAAAAGTGTTTTGAAACATGCAATAAAAGACCTATTGATACTAGCAGGAGGAGGAACAGGATTTATGCAAACTGATTTCTTGCCTTCATCTCCTGTATTGTCTCCTATGCAGGTGTCTTTGTTAAACTATGTATTTCTGGCATCCTGGGCCTTCGCACTGCCCTACAGCCGGTATCGGCCCCTTGCCTCCAGTGTTTGCACCGTGTGGACGTGTGTCGTCATCGTATGTAAAATGTTGTACCAGTTGAAGTCTATAGAACCCAATGAATACTCTAAGAACTGCTCTATGGTGAGTATTCACAATAAACACTCTAAGAACTGCTCTATGGTGAGTATGCATGCTGTCTGACCCTAGTTGTATGATCCTTACCATCCTTGTACTAAGAATAATTTTGTACATATTTTAAAATGTCATATTCAAAATGTACATACAGTTTGTATTACACAAATTTAACATCATGCACCTGACTACGTTCAGATTTAGATTATTTTTATGTCAAGGTAAATATAATAAATATCACAGTTGGAAAAGTATGGCACAGTAAATACATTTAAAACAAGTGTATGATTCATCAAAGCCAACAACATTTATATTTCCTGTCCCCAGCCGGAGGGCTACTGGGGCGACCAGAAGAAGTATATGTCTGAGAAGTCTCTGCTGTATAAGGGACAAGTGGATCCAGCCAACTGGGTGGGCTTGAAAAAGTTTGGTGACCTGCTGGGCTACCTCAGGGTGAGGAACGGAAACATTCATCAGCTGAAAGTTTGCACACAGGGAGGAAGAAATTTAAATCTGAACACGAACTAACAGAAAACAGTATTTTATTCAACAGAAGGGGCACCTCTGAAAATATAACAAATTACAATCACAAGCAGCCAGAAATAAAACCAATGACCAAGTCTAATAAACTTCAACTCTTTGTTTTTTAAATAAAAACAAGAAAATGCCAGATGCTATTATTTGATCAAATGAATTTTTAGTATTATGTAAGCATAATTATTGAACTGTACAGTACACTCCTCTTGTATCTGTTTTATTTTACATGTACATATACTTTAATTCACATTTATTTATTTATTTCATGTCCCATGTTTTAAATGCACTGTTTAGCTGCTTAACTGTGCTCTACCTCTCACTGCATGTTTTGCTTTCAGTCCTTGTTTTTCTACTTAATTTTATCCTAAATTTGCTCTTTGAAATGCTTCTTCTTATTACTGTTACTGTCCCTCTCATTACTTGCGTTGTGCACAACCTATGCCAATAGTATTTAAACATTTAACTGTACACTGTGCTGTAAATGATTGCATATGTGAGAAGTAAAGGTTTACATCTTTCAGCATGTATGTTCAACAAAAAAAGAAATAAACATTTAATACAATAAAATCTCCATCTGTGCAGAACAACCTCTTGATGTTGGCTCTCTTAGCATTTGAGGTGACCATCTACCGCCATCAGGAATACTTCAGACTGAGGAACAAACTGTCGCCTCCCGCTGCCCGAATTATCTTCCATGATATCACAAGGCAGCACCTGGACATTGGCATCATCAGCTTCATCAAATATTTCATCAATTACTTCTTCTACAAGTTTGGACTTGAGGTAGAGTTCAGAAATGACTAAAAATGTCCTTTACAATCTAGAAACCAGAAAACATTTGTGCCACTTCTGTGTGTGTTTATTCCTTGTGTTTCCCACAGACGTGCCTGCTGTTGGGGGTCAACGTCATTGGGCAGCGTATGGACTTCTATGCCATGCTCCATGCATTCGCCCTGATAGCCGTCATGTATAGGCGAAGGAGGAAAGCCATCGCTGAAATCTGGCCCAAGTACTGCTGCTTCCTGGCCTGCATGCTCACCTTCGAGTACTTTGTCTGCATCGGTATCCCTCCTGCAGCCTGTAAAGGTTTGTGGGGTTGACTTGGTCAGATTGTAATTATCAGATAGGCACAGGAAAGTGATCGACAGCCAGTTAGGATTTAAGGTCGCAAGTAATCTCATTAATCTCTCAATCATCTTTTTAGTCAACTGAGTAATGATTTTGTAAAAATAGTGAGGAAATCCCTGACATGTCCATCACATAAAAGCTGTTCCTCTGTCTTTTTGATTTTCTGGTTTTGTTAGCATGTCATGTCCTTTAAGATTGGTCCACTAATAAACCTGAGATTTTTATGTTGTATATATGTATGTCTGGACATAATGGTGCATGTTTTCATTTCAGACTATCCCTGGAGGTTTCCCAATTCTACTACAAACTCCAATGTGGTCAAGTGGCTCTATGTTCCAGATTTCATCACCAAGCCCAGTTCATCCTTTCTCATCTGTACGTTTCCTAGTTAAACGTTTTACTGTTGTAGCTGGTCGAAGTAGAGCTAATTTTAACTACTTCATCTACTGTTGGGTAGTTTAATCTGCAACAGTACATCATGTTTTATGATTTTATCACGTGTTTTCTCGTAATCTGTAAAGTAACCGGTAACTAAAGCTGTCAAAAACATGTGGCAGAGTAAAAAAATACAATAATGTTGTGGAGCTGAAGTACATTTACATTTCACCTCAGGCCACAGTTAACTTCAGGATGAATATACATTAAAAGGCTTATTTTGTTTTCTCAGATTATTTTAACTGAATCACAGCAGCTTTACTACAAAGATACAAATTGAATATTTATTCTCATATCAGAGTTACAAGTGCTCTCTCTCCTCACCTCTTTCCTAGATGACTTCATGTTGCTGCTCTGTGCCTCTCTTCAGAGACAGATCTTTGATGACGAGAACAAGGCGGCTGTCCGTATTATGGCTGGAGACAATGTGGAGATCTGCAGAGACCTGGACGCAGCCACCTTCAGCGTCCACAACCCGGTTCCCGACTTCATCCACTGCAGGTACAACACTAATGTTCCACTGAATTTACACTGCAGCAGGAAGTTGGCCCAAGTACGTTTTTTCTTCCTATTAGGACCTACATGGATACAGTTTATGGCAATGGATCCCATACTTATATTTCATCACTTAAATTAGATTTTAAATTAGATTCACTTGAAGCGGTTGTCATAACTTTGGTGTCACTGGAGCTTGACTGGACCAGCATTAACACAGAGGACAACAACAACAACACAGAGAAATGGAAATGAAGTGAAGTAGCCAGCTTAATTGATTCTTAACAATGTTATAAACTCAATACTGAAATGTATTCAAATCAAATGGAGCTGTTAAAAACTGTTCATATGTATATTACATTCAGATTACTTCTTAGAATATAGGTAAAACAAAAAGCAGCAGTTTGAAAGGAAGCCAGGGGAGCTTTGGTGTCAGTGTACCATTGAAGCTTTTTAGGATGTTTTATGACTTCCAGCTACTTTTAATAGACAGAATCTTGTACTAACGTTTAATCTGTAATGCTGTTTATAATGTTCAGAAATCATTGTTTTATCCACTGTTTCCTTGTCTTATGTTTATGCAACAACATATTCACTTCAGATTTAATTTTTCTGGTCAGTGTTTCTCAAACTGGTATCAATTGATTGAAATTGACACTATTATGGCAACAAAGAGTTTTAAAATAGAAGCAGGTTGGTAACATAACTGATTTAGTTCCTTTACTTTATTGTATTGATTGGCAGTATTGATCCATATACCAAGTTTAATAGACAAGTGGTAGAAAGGCATATTATCTCACCAAAAACTAGAACAACATACTATCAAATATTAAAAAAATGTTTGGTATTTTTAGTTAAAGCATAATAAAAATAATAATTGTCTTCTCTGAGTTTGTCAGTGCCGTCTAATCTTGTATCTAATATTATAATCATATGGTTGTAATGTCACTGAGTATGAGTATGAGTGTGGCTTTCCTGTGCAGGATTGATTGTGATGTTGATTAGTGATGGACCCTACAGTAGGAAGAATAGTTGGTGTATACAGCAGAAAGTGTGGGATCTAAATAAACTCAAGCAAGACTCTTATTGTGTACCCAAGTCTCACCAAACCTTTCTCCTCTGCTGAGGCCAGCTCAGTAGAAAACTGTTGTACTTGGCTTCTAACTGTGTAACTGTGGAAATCTTAAGTGGGGTGGTGCTGAATAAGGAAACACTCCCTCAGCAGAACCTTTGTCCTAGATAAATAAAGAACAAGAAACAACTGACAGAAGACAACAGCCCATGCGCTGACTGAGAGATTTTATTGAATGCCCTCTGTATACATAATTCAGAGTTTTGGCTGTCCTCCGATATTTGAATCTAGAGCTAGATACTGACTTTGCACATGAAAAATGAGCGAACAGAGGTTTTCAGAGGCAGAGAAACAGAGGGCGAGTTAGAAACACAGCGAGACCATCCTGACCTGTCCACAGTCATTGATTATGTGCTCTTCACATTCCACTGTTTTGATGCGCAAAGTGGACAAGTCTTTTATTAACGCACTCTGTGTCCATCAACAAGCCCTAGTAGAGAGAAAGAGAGCTGTACAGAACGCCTGTCCACGCCACAGCAGCTCTACACTTATTCCATCGTTTCCCTCCAGGATCAAATTACGGATACGGGCTGAGGAGAGAAATCCATAGTCCACAAAAACACTCTGTCCGTCACTCGGCGACTCAGACGCTTTTGCCCTGTACTCTAACTCAATAAATAGCTTTTAAGTGTGGAAAAGGTATTTTCTCCCCCTGATGAAGAAGGACACTCACTCAGCTATTTCAGCCCATCAACACGTTGTCTAGTCCCAGTGCATTTCATCAGAGCAGCTTCCTAAATAGTGCGGCCCATGTTTTCCTCCAGTTCATCAAATTAATGCACATTGCTTCCTATGTTTCCACTGGACACGTTACATAAAATCACAGGATTCATACACGTGCTTTAGCATGCTAGACACACACAGGTCACGCAGCCGTGTACTTGTGCTGAGTGACAGGAGTTGGGTTTCGCCTCTAGTTCCCAGTCATTGATCAGAGAGAGAGGACATACTACGTGAGAGAGGAGACACTAGAGAAGGTGAAATGAGAGAAATACATGATCTCCTTTGATGGTTCCTGTCAGTACTCTGGCTGCAGCAGTTTGGATTACCATGCATCGTATTTAGTCATCTTAGTCAGCTAGTGAGGGTCCAAGCTTCAGGCATCATGAGACAAAAATCAGCTGATGACCTTTATCACTTCTGGGTGCTGAAGTTCAGATTTGAAATTTGGAATCTGTATAGCACCAGTCGATTTCCATTCACATATAACTTTCTTCATGTCTGTCCTTTAGGTCCTACCTTGACATGCTGAAGGTCATCATGTTCAACTACCTGTTCTGGTTTGTCCTTACCATCATCTTCATCACGGGAACCACGCGGATCAGCGTCTTCTGTATGGGATACCTGGTGGCCTGCTTCTACTTCCTGCTCTTCGGTGGCGAGCTGCTGCTGAAGCCGATCAAAAAGATCCTGCACTATTGGGACTTTCTGATCGCTTACAACATCTTTGTAATCACCATGAAGAACATTTTGTCGGTGAGTAATCTATCTCAGATTGTTTATGAAGATTGACTACATGATATAAAAATCCTACAGACTAATTTAATATAAACTTTTGTTCTCAGTAGTAGAGTTCACTTGAACACAGCCTGTTTGTTATGTGAAATCACAGATCATAAAGATATTTCATAATTTAATATTTATTAAATCATTGATTTCTCTAATCAATCAGTTTAGGGGGCTCTTCATTTTGGATTTATTTCATTTTTATTTGGTTCTATATGTTAAATATGTTATTCAAATATACATGAATATTAATAAAGCAATAATTTCTCTTTGACCATAGATCCTAGCCTGTGGTTACATCGAATCTCTGATCAAGAACCAGTGCTGGTTAATCCAGTTGTTCAGTCTGGCATGCACCATTAAGGAATACAATACACCCGTCGACGGTGAGGGGACTCGCCATTTTATCTGATGTATTTTGTAACTGTCACGTTACTTATTAATTTTGATGTTTGTTTGGTACAAAATGTAAATATGCTCTTCAGTATAAATCCCCATTAATCTGCCGCTGCTAGTTGTACCTGAACAAGTCAGTGTGATTTGCTCCAGGAAACTGTTTGTCAAAGTCTGTGTATCCCTAGAAATTGAAATTAAAGCCACACCCTTGTTTTTCTTTTTCAGTTTTAGGCCAATTTATTGTAGAATGGCCTTCATCTCAGTCCCACTAGGATTTACAGTGAACAGAAAAACTGCCATTTTATGCATACTCATAAATTAACAGTCTACAGTGGTATGACTGGGAGTTTGTGCAACCTACACTTTGCCTTTACTTTCATGTGTCACTAGACAGTATCGAAGCAAAGATATTTTTACATATGTTGCACAGCTACTCATACTGAAATACGGGATTTGATGCATCATTGTGTTTATGCTAAGGATGCCAATCACATTGCAGTGTACTGGTTTTGGTCCAGCTAATAATTTATTGCAGTGTGAAAAATCTTTAGTTTAAATATAACTGGGCTGTGTACCATTTTTGTCCCAGATGATAACTGTCTGCTGCCCAAAGATGAGGCCGGGATCATCTGGGACAGCATCTGCTTCGCCTTTCTGCTGCTGCAGAGACGAGTGTTCATGAGCTATTATTTCCTCCACGTGGTAGCCGATATCAGAGCATCACAGATCCTCGCGTCCAGGTACACAACTGAGCTGCACAGAGACGCTGTAACCAGGAGTTTGATACAAGGCTGGGGATGCTGTCTCCATATTCAGACCCCTATAATAAAGTCATCTCTTGTATGTTTCTATGGGATATGCAGAGAAAGAAGTCCTCAATAAAACCCCTGTGAGGGCCGCACAGCCCATGGAAGGGAGGTGGTGATAAGTTAGACTTTTTAAAGCAACAGACCCGTCAAACTCAGGTGTAACAGACCATATTAGTTGTTGCATTGGATTGCAGTAATCATTTCTGTTCGGCATGGAGAAGGACTGTGAATACTGTTGGTACAGTTATGTTTTTTGTGATTATTTAGTAATGGCTGTCAAAATTTGATTGGTTACTGATGCTTGTCTGTGTGTTTCAGGGGAGCCGAGCTTTTCCAGGCCACGATAGTGAAGGCAGTGAGGGCCAGACTGGAGGAGGAGCGCAAGTCTGTGGAGCAGCTGAAGAGACAGTGAGACTTTAAATATTTAACCTACTTCATGTTGTATCATGGTGCGGTTTTGGGTTTTGTGTACTGTACTGTGCAACATTAGGAAAAGTTTTGAAATTAAATGTCTTATTGCACAGGCCAGTTTACCTTTAAAATGTATAGATTTAAATACACAGAACTAATAAAATTTGCATTGTCTTTGTCTAGATTAGGTTAGCTAGAGTTAAAACAGCAGGATTATTTAGAGCTACTTCAGGATTACTCAAGATATACAAGATCTGTCTACTCAACAGTTAACAACCAAATGAGACCAAACAGTATGTATAGAAAAGTGGATAGAATATATATTGTTTAATTGTTAAAATGTCGTTTTCTGAAACATTTGGGTGACTACAGCTGCAGACTGATGCACATTTACAGCAGTGTGTTCATGGTAAAGAAAGAACATGTGGCTCATTAAAGTGTTTTAAGCTCTGTGGCACAGATCAGTATGATGGCTTCTGTAGACCAGAGATGGGGGATTCTAGTCCCATCTCCTGACTCGAGTCAGACTTAAATTACAAATTTGATGACTTTTAGACTCGTTTGACACTGGTAAAAGACTCAACTTGACTTTGACTTGGCATTCATGACTTGAGACATATAAGTAATGTAGCCAGCATTACTACTGTGACTATTTGAGGATTTTGTGTAGCTTTAGTCTCATTGTGCCTCATTTAGTCCACAAGTAAGTGAACATGATTCAGAAAGCCATTTAAATTTGTTCTGGATTAAAAGCAGCTCCTGATTTGGTCTTTATTATTTCCTGGAAACCATCTCTCAGCATATCATGCTGCATAAAGTCAGTGTGTTTCCACCACTTACTGTTACCTCAGGAGTTAGCCCTTGATAATATCCACTCGCCCGCCCTAATGAGCACTCCACTGTTACATTACGTATGCTAATTTCCATATGAAGCCTGAAGATGTTTATGGTCAGTCTGTCTGTAGTTGGTGATGTTCCTCTGTGTCAATACTTTGCATCTCTTCACCATCTCTCTGATCTAATCAGGATGGAGCGCATTAAGGTGAGGCAGCAAAAGTTTAAGAGGGGCAAGGAGAAGATGCTAAGCATGGTACAGGAGTCTGGAGACGGACAGACCCTGGTTCGGCCTGAAGATGATGATGATGATGATGGTATGGTATGGCGAAGCCTGCCAGGGCCCTTCACTGGGCAGTCATTGATTAAAAAAAAGTTTGTGTAGAAATAATATGATGGTTAGTAGAGCTCAAGGAAGTTGGGTGAGAGTGAGTTAAAGCCTAATCAACCTAATTTATTAACTTGTTGTGTGATGATGTCTTTTCTTTAGCACATGAGCTAAAAGAGCAGCTTTATTGAGTAGAAATATGCCTTGAAGTTAATAGAAAACCTGATTTCTTATGAAATGTTGCACTGATGTATTTGTGGAATTTTAGGAGCACAGCGAGTGAAATCCAAGACCAAAAAAAAGCAGTGGTGGAGGCCGTGGGTTGACCATGCTTCCAGTAGGTTGGCCCCCAACCCCCCTTTTTTCTCTTCCTCCACTCCAATTGGCCCTTGTGTCCTTGACCAGAACGCTGAGGATTCCCATACTGCCCCTGGGCTCTGAAGGCACCAACATACAATAGCTTTGCTCCCTCCAGACTTTAGTCCTTTTCTGTCTCTATTTAAGGGACCTTGTTACCTGTAACTCTCATGTTCCTGTACACTGTGTGTGTGGAACGGCATTTCAGTTTTAAGAGGATCTGTAGAGGTGTGTTAGTATTGGTGCAGAGCATGGCTGCCTTAAATAGACTCAATGACATGATGAAGAAAGAAAATAACTAACGGCTGGAGGTTAGTACTTGATGTTGTTTTACACGTGAACTTCAGCGATGGTCTCACCTAAAGAGCCCACAGTGGAGAATCACTCTGTTGTGAAACATTTTAATGCAAAGATATGAAGTTGACTTGCCTTTATTCTCAGTACTGGAATAAAGGATGAAGGGTTTGTTCATTCTTTGCCTGTGGACATGATCACCAAGCAGGTGTTAGCCTTGAGAAACTAAAACAGCAAGAATGATTGGATCAACGCTCCAATAAATAAAACAACAACTTTCCCCAGCATGTTTCTGAGTTAACCGAGTGTTTGCCTGTTTGGTTTGAACTCATGTCTCTTACTGTACTCCCTCACCCCACCCCCTGACATTTTTCAATTATTTCACCATTTGATCTCTTTATCATTTGATGTTTCATCTCCGGCCCCCAGCATCCTCCCTCACTTCCCACCCACTGTGGTTCTGTTCAAGGACATAAGTCAGCCTCGCCTGTACCCGTTGCTTTAACACTTACCTACTGTAAACTGGAGTCACCTGTTTATCAACTAGCTTAAAGGTGTAAGAGTTTTTAATAGACATTCTTCATTGTGCTTTATGCTTGTAGTTTTATCAGTCTTGCTGACATTTTAATGTGTTGTGTGTCATCTGCATTTTCAGTTTCATCCTCCTATTATGTTTTTCCGAGTATGTGGATGTCATGGTTAACTGTAGACTGTTAGTGAATTGAAAAGGATTAAATGTTAGGTTGTGGTTTATTTGTCCTGCATTACTCTTTCTTCAAGGGAACCTTCAGTGAGCCTTATGTTTAATGTAACTGGAAAAACACTGAATGACTTCAGCCTCTGTTGACTGCATGTAACAACGTGTTACCCTCTGTCCCTCAGTGGTCAGAAGTGGAGACTATTACTTGTTTGAAACTGACAGTGAAGAGGAGGAGGAAGAGGAGAAAACAGATGAGGAGCTTCCAAAGAAGTCGGCATTTCAGGTGACTTCCTGTTGTCGCTCGTTTTTCATCTGCTCCAGGGCGAATTTTAATTCTCTCTGTCACATGTTTATTATTGATGAGGATGTTGCACTTTTTCAAATCAAAATATTGTGTTTTTTACATGATTACGTTTAGTCTGTCCAGTGGTATAAGAACCGCTTGGTTTCTTTACTTACAGTAAATACAGCAAAATAAACATTAGGTTATTAGCAAACTAAAAAGTTTGAGTAAATGTGTGTCCCACTCCCTGATCTGATGTTTGCTGTTTTTTTATTGTTAACCAGATTTATTCTTTATTCTACACATTAAAGAAACTAAAATATATAATGCATTGCTTGCAAAGTTGAAGAAATAACATATTACTAAGACACATTTTTATGGACTTTGTTTTTGATAAACACAGTGCTTGTTTTCCTGAGTACATTTCAGGATTTGTGACTTGTGCTTTTTTTTTTTTTACCAAGGAATAAATAAGTAAAGGTTTTGAATATTAACATTCAGAGGAATCTAATGAGTGGTCTACGTTCATCTGCACAGTATCTGTGACTATTAAATCCTCCTCTATGATTTTTCTAACACTGAAATGTTTTCTACTAATCCTCTCTCACTCTTTTCCCTTTCTGTAGCGAGCAATCGGGAAGTTTGTCTCTGCTGTTTTCGCTTTGCCCAAGTCTGTCATTAGGCTGCCTAAAACTGTTCTGCAGTATGTAATCAAGGCAGGCAAGGTACTCACCCCCACCACTAACACAGCATGTTTTCTGCACGAACATTGCAGGTTTATTAATATTAATGCCACAGCAAACTGGTTTTTGGTGTTCTGCTTTGTTTTGTGTTAACCTTTCTCTTGCATGCGGTTGCATGACTGACTGGATTGAGCTTTATTCTGACATGGTGCTGACTGTGCATGTGCTGCATGTTTACCTTTTCATCTGGTGTCCTGCATAGAGTGCAAGCTTCAAGTTATCATGATCAGTGTGAAGCAGCAGTAGTTAGCAGTTTGTATTTAGGCCTTTACTCTGAAGGACATTTTTTGTGTGTTTAAAACACTACACTGATGGTTGTGCATGTTCAGTGCATCAGCAGAAAAAAAAATTTCTTGACAACACTACTGCCTATTTTCTTGGACATATTTTTTTGTATCTGCAGAGTATAAAAATTTGCTTGATATAGATCTCTGGGAGTAATCACATACGTATTATTACAGTTTTTATTGGACTTTTTTTTGTTTTTGTTGCCATCAATGAAGATATGTGAATTTGCTGCAGAAAAGTCGTTTTGTCAGGAAATAAAAACCTACATGACTCAATTAAAAGGGTGTTCAAGACTGTCAGTTTTCATGCTGGAGTGATATGATTTGAAATCATTTGCTACAGCAAACACAGGAAAATCCGATGGAAAAGTGTTGTTTCAGAAATGGTCTGTAGTATAAAGTATAGCTGATCTGTAATTCATTGCCTGAAACATGCGAAGCCACCTTAAATTTGTGTCAAATTTTTCCTTTTGCCTACTGTTGCTCTTGCATACAGTGATTTGTTTCTGCCCTTTCATTGGTGCTAAGCTGCTACTGAACTCTGTTCTGCAGTTTTTCTACCACGCCTGGATCACAGACCCCAAAGCTGCTCTGAAGGCAAGAGGCAAAGAGAAGCGCAAATTTTGGAAAAAATATACCAGAATTAGACACAGGAAAAGCAAGAAAGATGGTAAGCAGGCTGACACATGATGCTGCTACAGTATTTATATTTGGCATGAGCTTCCTGTTCCTTGAGCCACAGTGAAGTTTATTTACTGTACTTCAGCAGGTCATGTGGCCATAGAGGTCAATGAGCTGTCTGATGACCAAGACAAAGGAGAGGAGAATTCTGATGGCCCTGGTTAGTGTTTCTGCTTGAGATCATGAAACTAAAGATTGACTTAATTTCAGTCTTAACACATTCTGCACACTGGACTTTGACCATTGAATCAGTACTAAGAGCATATAGAAAGTGCATATTGTATAGACCACTATTAATTATTTGCTTTTTCTTTGTCTGTGGATGGGGGGTAGTCAAGGATTGGGATACATGGAGGGTGGGTGACCAAGACACTACTTAGTGGTCCAAATTAAATTCAGATAAGGATGGTTCTCTACTGACAAGTGATGTGTTGATTTTATTAAATAAAATGAACATGTAAATTATAATACAAACTATAGTGGCCAAGTGCCCCATCCAGAGAAACCTAGACTTCAAGTACAAAACCATAGTTGCACTATTTGTCTTTCTTTTCCCTTTTGATATTTTTTCTAACTTTTTCAGGATGATAATTATCAGTTTGCTGGTAAATCGCAGCCTAAGAAGTTTTATTTATGTGACTCTCCCTCAGACAACATCATTAAGCGAGTGTTCAACATCATCAAGTTCACCTGGGTGCTCTTCCAGACGACAGTGGACAGCTTCACCAAGTGGATGAATGACGTGTGCAGAGAGTATATCGACATCTCCACTGTTCTGCGTATAGAGCGCTGCATGCTGACCAGAGAGGTCAAAAAGGTGCCTCATCCTTCACACTGACCTTTGACATGTACTATACAAGTGTTACAAACCATTTGTTGTGATCCACTGAATTTTTATCTGACACCACCGTGAAGTCTACAGTATTTTTCCCAGTTCTTTGGTTTTTGAAAAACCTATGCTCAAATAATGACTTTTTTGTTTTTGTTATTAATAAGCTAATTAAAATTTCCTTAAAGTGACTGGAAGAAGCAGAAAGTAATGAAGTCCTTTCCTCCTACCAGGGTAATGTGCCGTCCAGAGAGAGCATCCACGTCTACTACCAGAAGGCCATGAGGCTCAACATGTCCAGGCATGCCAGCATGGATCAGCTCAGCGATGATGAGTCGGCCTCCGGCTCAAGCAGGGCCAGAAGGAGGCGAGGAGGCTACCGCATGGGGAGCCAGGACTCCACGGCCTCCAGAGACAGCATGTCCAGGTACACAGAGTGTGATGGTGGTTGTCAACAATTCAACAGAGGAGACTGAATGAAACAACAACAGATTGTGGCTTCATGGCATCTTCCTCCCTGAACTTTATGCCTCTTATTTCCTCTTAGGTAGAAAACAACCTTTCATTTTTAGGTAGTTGTGAATTAAACAATGAAATGTATATAAATTATTACTCTAATGCAAGAAAAAAGTTTAAATGAAAGACCTTTGTTTGCATGATTGGACAGAGCACCAATATATTATAGGTACTAATGCATTTATACCTTGTCGAGCCCTTCATTAGTTTCTAAAGTTTTCCTGCACTACAAATTCGATTCATCATTTTTCATTGAGGAATTATTTATTGCAAAGGAAGTAGCAATTTGTACTTTTGCCATCAAAACAACAGTCATACTATTAATACATGTACTTTACCTCATGTGGGTACTTTAGTTGTCTGCAGATAAATTCACATGGCAGTAGAGTTTGTATCATGATCTACATACTAAAGGGTCAGTTCCGAGACAAAAACCTTAAACTCTGCAATAAAATCAAAACTATCTTCATGGCTACACCACCTGGAGGTGAGTTAGAAGATAGGTAATTGTAATTGAAGTGAACCGACCCTGTAAGGTGTAGACAGTAAAGTTTTGTTGTGTAACGTTTTTAGTTTTATACTGCATGCATCATAGGCTGCACACTACATGTTCTCTGAACCTTTAGGCAGACAGCTCAGAATCAGGTAGCGAGCTACTGGCAGCTTGCGAGCGATGTGTCAGAGACCCCGTGCTGTAATCATTCCTCACCATGAAGAAATCCCTGTCCGAAGTGGTCTCGGAGGATGTGATGGATGATGAAATGACAGTCCTTGTTCTTTGCAAAACTTTATTTTAAAATGCATCTCAAGCTAATACTGAAGCCTCAACAGTCTGTAATCAGATCGCTTTGACATCTTCCAAAGTTTCCTTCCCTGGACAGTTGTTCCTGTGGAGCAGCAAGGGAAGGATAGAAAAGAGGGACTCTTGTTCCAAACTAGTCTACAACATTGGAAATATTTTCTTCAGTTAAGCTTTTTAATATATTTTGCGCAGAGGGAGGACTGTGGATTTTGTGCCCCATCACATGCACTGGGAACATGTTGGGATTAACAGGACAAATGTTTACAGCAAACACCACCTGTTTCAATGTTCATATGGTTTAGGACAGTGGTCCCCAACCTTTTTATCACTGCGGACCGGTCAATGCTTGACAATTCTACCGCGGCCCGGGGGGTGCGTACGTAGATTGTTTATATTGTTAATATAATAATAAACGTGAATCCACTGTGTTGAAATTTTAACTCCCCATAACGCTAAATCAATGGGAGCCCGCAGAGGGAGGACTGTGGATTTTGTGCCCCATCACATGCACTGGGAACATGTTGGGATTAACAGGACAAATGTTTACAGCAAACACCACCTGTTTCAATGTTCATATGGTTTAGGACACACTAGAAAAATCATGAAGCCATCCTTTAAGGTTGAGTTAAAGGCCATTGATGCACAGAATATAGGGAATCTCCTGGTCTGTGTAACCTTAAATAGATCCCATCTCATCCTTCTCACCGCTAATCATTCCATCTGACGCTCTCACCACCTCTCAGTGCCTTCACTGAGGCCACCACCCTGTTTTCTCGTCAATCCACACTGGAAGACCTCGATGGAATGCCAGAGTGCATTCCCAAAACCAGCGAGCGTGCCAGGCCCAAACTGCGTAAGATGTACGGCCTGGACATGTCCACTTCATCAATGGACAGTGGCAGCAGCATCATATCCAGGTGCCAGGCTTCTGTATCACCCATACATACACCTGTGTCACTGACGTGAATCATTACATCATTGCATCTCACAACTTCTGTTTTTGCTCCTTTATCAAAACGTGTCTCCAGATCAATCTGTCATTAATTTTAACTTAACTGAATCACTGCATGATATTCAACCCTTTTGTTTGTTACATCCTGTCAGAAACCCTGAAAAACAACCTAAATGTCACATGTTCTTTTCATTTTGAAAAGGATTTTCACCCAATAAGAGTGGTTTTATGATGTATAAATATGTATTCCAAGTGTAACAGTCAGTTTCAACAGTCAGATTGTCCTCATCTGCTTTCAACTACATTGCAGTGAGTGATAATTCATCTGAACAATGAGGCCTGAATGCAGACTGACATATTCCCTACTGTTTTTGTCTGCCACAGTGAAGCGACCCAATGTGTCACGCTGTACTCCAGACAGGGCACCACAGACACCATAGAAGAAGCGGAGGATGAGCAGGATCAAGGGGAGGATGTGCCACAAGTACCCTGGCAATTCCAGCGGCTGGATGAGAGTCAAGGGACTGAAGGTGGGCCCTGGAGTGACACAGAGCCCAGGGAGATACAGGAGGAGGAGGGTGAGGGACTGGAGGGGCTGGGGGCTGAAGAGGCTGAGGAGGAATTACAGGTACCAACGGACCAGGAGAGAGAAGAGAGAGGAGAGGCTCCATGGGAGTCTTTTGGCCCAGATGAGGGGCCCTCTCTCAGGCTGGAGGTGGCAGGGTGTGCCCCTTCTGCTCAGGAGAAGGACTTCATCACTGAGAGTGAAGATGGAGGAGGGCAGCAGGATTTGATGCAGACAGAGGGTCAAGCGGGGCTGCCCTACACCCCGGACACAGATACTTCCAAAACATCTGATGCTGATGTGCCTCCCAGCTACAGCAAGGCAGTCAGCTTTGACCGCCTGGACATTAGCGATGACGAGAGTGACACGGACAGGAAGAGGCGCATGGTTATGACCTCTGACAGCCGCTCAGACAGCAGGTCCGACATCATGTTGCCCTCTATGACCACTGAGCTGACTGCCAGCGAACTTCTGCTCAACAAGTAAGTCCAAAAGCAGCTGAAGCCTCAGAATCAGAAGGTGCTTTGCTGCAGATTCATTTTTATCACTTCACAAATAATACCTAGCTCATCCTTAAAGTTGTAAGGTGTACGTTTGTGCTATCATCAGGCCTGTGTAAAACATTTTGAGACAAACTTTGTAGACATTTTAATTTATTTTTATTTAACCTTTATTTACCAGGGAAATTCCCACTGAGGTTTACAACTTCTTTTACAAGGGAGCCCTGAGAACACGGTGGCATAAAGCCATACAATATATTAAATCTGCAATGAACTACCAAAACAGTTAAGACATGTAGCTAAGAAGAATGATACAGAAATGAGTTTATAATAGTCTTGATTTGTGCCAGTGATAGCAAATTTGATCATTTGATTTCCCACTGCAGACTCTTCCAAGTGGCAGGAGCAGAAAAGAAAAGGGCTTTCTTTCCCATTTCTGTCCAAAGACTGGGGACACACAGCAGATATCTCCATATAGTCCTTCTGTGTCTCTTTGTAGTTATATGGTTCTTTTGTTTCATTGTAGTCATTTTGCCATTGTGGTTGCATTTTGCTGGTGAAACCCAGGGGATCCCTTGACCCCCTAAGCCCCTGGGCCTGTTCAGTAATCCATTTACAATTGCAAGATGTTTTGATAATAAGATTTATCGCTTATTAATCTTTCTGCATTTTATAATCAGAAAAGAAAAACACAAAAGCAGTCCATTTCTCTGTGTCTGTCCAGGATGTTTTATGATGAGGAGCTGGACCAGTCAGATAAATTCTACCAAAACCAGCCCCTGATCCTCCAGCTCTGCTACGCCCTCTACAACATGCTGGTGGCTCACTCAGAAATGGTGTGCTACCTGGTTATCATCATTAACCACATGGTGTCGGCCTCCTGCGCCACCCTGGTCCTTCCCATCACCATTTTCCTCTGGGCCATGCTGTCAGTGCCCCGACCCAGCAAGCGCTACTGGATGACCGCCATCGTCTATACCGAGGTACAGTCAGGTGTGATGTCATCACTTGCAAAAACATCAACTTTTCCAGTCATAAAGTGGTCTCATTTTGCCAACCATTAAATTACACTGCTCAAATTGCACAGTTAGCTTTTAAAGATCAATGTAAAGATTAATTTGTTGCCTTCATACAAGATGTACAACACAATTATCTTTGTTTTCTTAGTAAGATCATGTTTGTAATTATATAACAGTTTCTCTCAGGTTTCATTGTAAATCTTCATCTTGGTTAGTAGTCCGGAAAGCTTCACTGACACTGATGTTGTTTTTCCTCTAGGTCACCATCGTCATCAAGTACTTCTTCCAGTTCGGCTTCTTCCCTTTCAACAAGAATTATCAGGAAAACGAAAGCAAACATAATCATGCTCCCAACATCATCGGTGTGGCGAAGAAGGATTTACGAAAACAAACATGATCATCCACCCAACATCATCGGTGTGGCGAAGAAGGATGGTTACGTCCATTATGACCTGGTGCAGTTACTGGCTCTCTTCTTTCACAGATCCATTCTGAAGGTACCCCCAACCACAGATAATATGGATATGTGCCTCATATAGAAAGATGTCTAGTTTAATTCAGTATTTTCCTACTGTAAATAAATTCCACAACAAGAGCAAAACCAACAGTCCGTACTGTGTTGTAGACCTCCACTACATCGCAACAAATAGACTGTTCATTCTTGGTTGAGTAACATTAATACCCAGTTGTTTTAGGAACAGTTTCAATGGGAACCAGTGAGCTTGGGGCCACAGTGCCACAGACAGAATAGGGATGTCGTGAAGTTCTGACAGATGGATACACACACCACTTGCTTTGGTGATTTTACAAGATTTGTTGACAAGGAACATAAAGTCTACTGTCAGCCTTAGCCTTTAAATACAATTACTCTGTTAGTTTGTCTCTTATTCTTCACAGTATTTTTAAATTGAACATGATTATCACCTTAATTACCACTTATCTGCTGATAGTGTCTTTAAATTTATCACGCACATTTACAATAATTGGTTAATTCTGAAAAATGTTTTTTTCACAATTAAACAGAGCCTCTGAAACAATCATTCAGTTAATAATGGGTTTTAAAAACTGACAGCCTATAAAATGCTGTGTGTATTTAATGTCTTCAGTTGTAAGCTGTAACTTTGTGACATGTTGCTGCTGATTCACAGAAAACTGTATCCAGTAGAAAATAGATCAAATTTGCAGAGAACACTGCAGGTTTTACTGACTGGTTTAGTTTGTGCCTGTGGTCTGGGAGGAGTCTTCATCATATCAGCTTTTTACACCGACTGGCCAACAGCCAGTTCAAGACCATTACTGGCCAGATTTAGGTTTGTGTGTCTCTGTTAATATCTCTTCATCTGTTTCTGAAACTTTTCCTTCTTTCTCAACAAATGAAAGAAAATCATTATCATGCCTTGTTAGCCGCTATGGACCAAACACTGACTGTGTTTGTTTGGGTTGTGCTGTTAAATTTTATCTGTAACATTGTATTTTTTTAGTACCAGGCTCTGAGTCTGTTTGGGCATAAAATATAACACCCTCTCTACAAATGTCTGCATTTTTCCTCTTCTTTTCATTTCCAGTGCCACGGCCTGTGGGATGAGGATGACCCCAAAGAAAAGAAAGAGCCTCCCTATCAGAGCGAGTCTGAAGATGAGGGAAAAGACAAGGAGGAGAGTGAGAAGGAGTCTGAACCTGCCTCCTCACTAAACAGTGAGAGGAGGGAGTCCCCTCACACCTTGAGGTCCATAAACTTTGGGACCTCCATAGATTCAGGACCTGTCCAGGTGCACTTCCCACAACAGCAGACCTACCAGCGTCGCAAGAGTTCCAGCGGAGGGTCGCATGTTTCGCACCGATCTCACCACTCTTCTATAAGGTCTAAAAGAGGTAAGGATCATTTTTATTGAGCATTTTCTGCTACTAAATGGTAGTTTGATGATTCACTCAAGACAACTATTTCAAAACATGAGAGTTAGTGGAGGGTTCATTTACAATTCGAAATGTGAACTGTTTACACAGGAAGTACTGCTTCCCACAACAGCAGCCGCAAGGATGGCAGCGAGGCTGGCATCCATCAGAGGACCCGCAAACAGATGATAGTGGAGAAGTTGAGAGAGCAGCTGTATAAAGGAAAAGCTTTCCTCATAAAGCGGTATGAAGAGGCATGAAGCTGTGTTTTTGTCTCTGAAACTCCACAAGCTGCCACCACTTGTAAACATGAGGAAAAGAAACATGTAACTTTGAGGACAGTGGTGAGATGTGTGCTCAGCAAATATTCTGGATGTATACTGGAAGGTGCACTGTGGAAAATCACATCACTATTACACCAGCTAAAACCTTTCAGAAGTCTAAATTAAAAAAGTAAATTTAGCCTTTTAATTACAGCTTTCCTGCCAGACCAGTCAGTGTAATTTTTGTAAGTGATGCAACAGACAATCAGGACATGCTATTTATCTAAATATAACCACACTAGAACAAGTGGTTTCTGAGATACTACGTCCAGAAGAGTAAATGAAACACACTGAAATGATACTTAAAGTATTTGCATTTTCCCAAAATAAGAACAGTCTAACCGACTGCAAGGACTGTGTGTGACCTCATTTCATTTTATCCAGCATACACACAAAAGGTTGGTACAGATATTCACAAAACAGAAAGAAGAAAACCAAGACAAAAAAAAGACTGAATCAACATAGGACAAACAAACAAACTCTGACACAAACAAGGTGTGATGCATAAAACTGAAGGTTGGCATAATGACAACAGCGAGCATGCCAAACTTATTCCCTTATTATGATGTTAACTCCTGCACTTTGTAGGTTCATGGAGATCTACCTTCCAATGCGGCAGTTCTTCTATAACCTGATCCACCCAGAGTACAGTGCAGTAACAGATGTCTACGTGCTGATGTTCCTCGCTGACACCGTTGACTTCATCATCATAGTGTTTGGATTCTGGGCATTTGGTGTAGGTTTTTTTAAAACTAGATTTTTTTTTTAACCTGAATGTATAAACAAAATTCACATTTGTTCTACATTACTTGAAAAATTAACAATAATGTGTGTACCTTTTCTCCTCCAGAAAAACACAGCGGCAGATATCACTTCGTCTCTGTCTGAGGATCGGGTTCCAGGAGCCTTCCTGGTCATGGTCCTGATCCAGTTTGGCACCATGGTGGTGGACCGGGCCCTCTACCTCAGAAAGTCTGTATTGGGAAAGGTCATCTTCCAGGTCATCCTGGTTTTTGGTATCCACGTCTGGATGTTCTTTATCCTGCCAGGAGTCACAGAGAAGTAAGACCCTAATCTTGCCCCACTTTAGATATATTCATCATTAATCTGCAGTAATTTAGAGTCCTGATTAATCACTGAGGAGCCCTGGTGGCACATGACAAGAATCTTGGAGCATCCTGGGTTTAAAATATGGCTTGAGGTCTTTGCTGCATGTCATTCATCTCAGCATATGTTTTAAATAATTATAAAATTCTTGTAAATTTGCAACTATTAGTCAACTTTCAAAAAGTAATTGCCAGCTATCAATCAAGTTATAGCAGCTTTTTTAAAGATGAACTGATAATGAAAATTAAGCACAACCCAAAGTTTTTGATTTTTAAATTTGATCACTCCTCTCTAAAAGTTCTCCATCTTAAAAAGCCCCCATTAATACAAAGCCTGATTCTTTGTTTGCAATCAAGTTATTTAGCTTGTTATAAAATCGAATAAAGTCTAAATTTATGAGAGATGTGAGCAGCTCTTTGCGCACACACAAACTTTAAACCCTTTTCCCTTTGCAGGCGCTTTAATAAGAACACGGTCGCTCAGATGTGGTATTTTGTCAAGTGCATCTACTTCGGGCTCTCAGCATATCAGATCCGCTGTGGTTATCCCACCCGTGTTCTGGGCAACTTCCTCACCAAGAGCTACAATTACGTCAACCTCTTCCTGTTTCAAGGGTGAGTCACACATCAAATTTTATTTGTATAGCACCAAATCACAACAAAAGTCATCTCAGGACACTTTACAAAGTAAGGTCTAGAGTCTAGACCTTACTGTTATCACTATTATTACATAGGGAAAACCCAACAAATCCCCCTTGGTTGAAAAAGAAGAGAAATTAAAATGTATCATTGTTTGCAGCTCAATTCATTTTCTGCCATGCTCAGTAGAAATTGAATGAATTTTAGAGGTTTACTGTATCAAGGTGGTTGAAGGGCAAAATAAAACTTGGGCAAAAAAGTTGGAATAACTAGAGTTCTCACCTTCATAGTGTATATCATATTATGTTTTTGGGTTGCCCATCTGCCTTTCTATATGTCCATAAGTCTGTCCCATTCTTGTTAACAGCATATTTCAGGAATGTTTGAGGGGATTTCTTTAAATTTAAAATCACTTAGGCTCAAGGATGAACTGATTAGATTTTAGTGGTCAAAGGTCAAAGTCACTGACCATTGTCTGTCTCATTACTGTGAATTTGACTGGTTGGCAGAGGAATGCAACTGCAAGGCGGTAATTCTGTTTTAAAGATTACCAGCCATCCAGTACCCTTGTAAAAGTTTAAGTATCTCTAAAGTGCCAGTATAACCAGTAAATTGTTAGCTGTCACCTTGCCAAAAAGTGATTACAGCAAATGTTTTGGCACTCAAAGGGGTTTCAAATCAAATAAAATCAAATTTTATTTGTATAGCACCAAATCACAACAAAAGTCATCTCAGGACACTTTACAAAGTAAGGTCTAGACCTTATTGTTATCAATATTATTACATAGGGAAAACCCAACAAATCCCCCTTGAGCAAGCACTTGGCAACAGTGGGGAGGAAAA